TCTATCTATCTATCTATCTATCTATCTATCTATCTATCTATCTATCTATCTATCTCAACATTTGAACACAACTATAAAAATAGGAAAATAGAAATACAGCACCACTTATTATATTTTATTTTAATTTTACTGCTCAATGTTTCTAAATTGGTTTCTATGATTTCTTCTTAACTCTGCCAGCAGATCTGTCTTTCTTTTGTGAACTAATTCATTCATTTTTTAAAAAAGTCTTATTTTTACCATTAATTGGTGAAGAACTTATTTTTCCATTATAAATATTTATTAATGTAGATAATCTTAGTAGACAGTTGACACTCTTCTCAGCAAAACTGTCTGTAAAATTCTGATTGTTCTCAGGACTGGCATTCAGCTTACTGACAAAATTTTAATTTTTTTTTTACATATTTTAATATTTGAAAACCAAAAATCATTGCGGAATTACACTTAATGGTAACAAATACTTATAGGGCTGATAATCTACCAAATAATGTTCCTTAGTTCGTATGGCTTCAGAATCCAGCACTGGGAAATGATGGCAGTTGTATTTCTGGATGACTGGGAAACAGCAGTCCAATAGATGACAGCAACTACTTGCGGTACATATTTATTTATTTATCAATTAACATAACCATAGATTCTAGCAACAACATTTGAAGTTGTGAGAGGCACAGGATTTTACTTAGATAATGATTGAATTAAATATTTTCCTTATTAATTTGTACTCTTGCCTGTACCTGAATATGTCATCAAAATTAAGAGGACTGATTATAACATGGAAGTTAATCCTTCAATTAAAAATTAATCCTAAAAAATGTTATTTTCAAGGCTGAAGTCAAAGCATTAAAAAGTGGAAGGTATAAAAAGAATGATAAAATTGGGAACTGGAATGGCTTTTCTTCTGATGAAGTTAAGCCACTTTTAAGACAAATCCTTTTGTCTGATTGGAGTCATTAATATCTCATAAAATTTTGCACAATTCTTAAGTGACCGTTTGTAACATTGTCGCAGCCCTTTTAAATATTTTAGTGCATTTGCTGCACTGTGACTCATGATTTGGCATTATGGAGTCCAAGTGTTTTGAAGAAAGGAGACTTCATGATCCATCATTTCGGATATCTGTGAAAATCACATTTAGGGAGAATCCTATGTAGAGAACCAGGCCCATTCTACTTATGAACAATACCATTACAAAGAATAGTAATTTCTGATTAAACATTTTCAGGATTGTTCTGTGTGTCTACTTATGTGGGCTTAACTACAAATATCTAATCTGGGAATCACCATGTTCCGGAATGATCTGGCTAAATACTGATGATCAAGGTTCAGTAAATTTCTCATGTAATTATATTGAAGTTAATAGAGGTGTCTGGCTTGGACTAAAGTAGTATTGATGCATTATATTTTGATTCTTTCCTGTATGTGCTCATTATGCAAATAGCCATGACTTCCTTTTGTCTATATTTATTTGCTTTCTTTGGGTATTACCAAAAGTGTTCCAAAAATGGGAAATGTGATTCATTCAGTAGGTAGCTTCTGTAATAAATAATAAGGGGATGTACAAGAGAAATGGGTGTATTTTAACGTTGTTTGTGTAGTATTATTAAGCAAAACTCAGTGGGTTGTATTTTTCAAAGACAATTACACAAATTGCCATTTTCAGTACAAATACTTGGAAGCAACTTGTTGAAGGCTTTCTGGCAGAACTATACACAGTGTAGTTTCACTGAAAACTAATGGGCATTTTCTGTGATTATGAAGTTGCGTGTTTGGAAAGGATACAGTTCTTTCACCTAATACATGACAAACACACTTGAGTAATAGGTAAAAAGAGAGAAACATACCAGTCATGGTAAATCCACCAACTAGCAAGCCAATATCTCTTCCACCAACTATAATAGCTTCACTACGATCTCCATCACTCCCACTGTTTTTGGTCTTCCAAGCAGCCCATATTCCAACAAACAGGATGGCCAAGTAGAACAAAATGAGAGCTATCAACCCTTCCACATGAAAAGCCATTCTGAAGTCACAACAGGTTTCTGGATTGCTATTTCATAATATAAAAGCTATAAAAAAGTAATCACATATTATGTACTTATTGAGCCTCAACTGTAGCTTACACAGCAAATCACATTAGAATATCAGAATTCAACGTATAATTCTTTCTGGCATTATTTTTCTATTTTAAACATAACCTCATTGATGTTCCAGACAATCAGTGTCGTATTAAAAATTCTACCATTTCCAAGCAAATTTTTTAGTCTAAGAATTAAAATAATGATTTTATTCTACCTTTATCTGATTTAAGCAAAGGAAACTGATTAGAAATCTTAAAAGGGTGTGTTAAAGCCAGCTTTAGTGTTTCACAATGAGGAACATTTCTACACTTTTCTGTTGGTTAAAATTAATTTAATTAAACAAATTATGCCAATGGAAAAACTATAAAAAATAAAGAACAAAATGGGCAAAATAGTATCTGCTACTTTTATACTAGTAATCTTTCTTGACAAAAATGGTATTTCTAACCCCACAGAAGAAGTGTTTCAAGTTTGCCATTATTCTGATAAAGTCAGCTTCAGCACCAGAACACTTAAAGAATAAATATAATCCAGCACAATCAAGAACCTCCATAAACAAAAGGTGAAAGCGTAGAACTACTGTGAATATGTGATGTACTTTTTAATTTGATTTTTGCTATTCCTTCAAATTTTATGTTTCGTTTAAGCTCAATTGTTGTATCAGGACAGGAAAAGTGTGCTTTTCAATCAAAACAGCAGTGTGCATGAGGCTTCTATGTATCATAAATATTTATATTTCCATAATAATGAAAAGAAAACCCGAACAACTGCTACAGCTGAAGAACAGGAATTTCTCTTCCCAGTCCATCTTTACTGACAATTCTCTTAGAAATTCAGTTTTCTGAAGTTCAGGCAGAAAAGGTTGCTGAGAGTGCTATTTGAGTTTCCACGGACAATTCTTAACTCCCAGAGTAGCTTCAATAACAAGTTAGATTAATTTTATTATCCCCCCACCCCCCATGAAAACACAACGATTCTTCCTGTGACTATTCAACAAATGCTCTCACCTCCCCCCAGGCCCTGTTGCCTGTATTTCACTTATCTTCATTTCTGCCCCAATTCACCTCTTTTTTTTCCAGCCGGTTTTCCCTTCTTCCTCCTTCCACCGGCTCGTCTTTACTCTCTCGGGCGGCTCTCTCAGCACCTCGCGTTCACCCACCGAGGCAGAGTGCAGAAGCGGCGTTTCCTTTCTTTAAAGGGACAGGCGCACTCACAAAGCCCTTTTGACTTACAAGAGCTCCGCGCAGGCTACTTCAGGCTCATGTGGGTCTGGTACAGCGCAGAAAGGAAGCTGCCTGCTCCGCACCAGCTGAACATCTGGCTGTCTTCTCTGGTCTTGAGAACTGTTGCCTTCCCTGCCATTTTACCACATTCTCAGCTGCTCTCTGAGACTGCAACTATCCAGGAAGAGAGCCAGCCAGCTAACTAGTTGCCCAGGCATCACCGCTGGGGAAATTATCTTGGGCTCCTTGCTTCAGGAAGAAGCATTTCCTTGGGGAGGTAATCCGTAGCTGCAGATCAGAAGCACTTTCACCTAAGTGCCCTATTTTCCTCCAGTCCACTGTGGAGAAAATGTCCTTCTCTTCCTTCCCTTCCCCTTTGTGCTGATTCTTATACTGAGGCCTTTGGTGGTTACTGGTTTTGAAAAAGAGATTCCATTATAAAGGTGTTGGGTGAGATGACTATGTCCGTCAGAAGTGGGAGAAGTACGTCAGGGGAAAGAGAGGTCTGCGGGGGTAAAGATGACTCAACAGATGGTAATCAATTATGTGGGAAAGATTTTGGGGGGGGGAGAAACAAAGAACTGACAGGGAGAATTAAATGTAGACACAAAATGCTAAGGAGCTTCTTGTCAGTTAGTGATGGAGATCAGGATTCTAATCAAAATACAGCATTAGTATGTCCGTTTGGAATATTGTTCTGAAACATTCAAGAATAATTAACTGAAATTCATAATGGTTTTGTAGAATTTGTTCACAGAATATTCTATAATGTCTAGATATAGGCAATATCTCTTGATTTCTCAACAAATTCATACCAAACTGCTTTTCTGCCATTCTTTATCTGTCAAATTCTTCTACCAAGATGCCCTAGTCAAAATATAAAGTGTTTACTCCCCGCCTACTTCTTTTCTATTAATTCAGATATGCTGATAAACAGATCCCAAGGTTACAATTCTATATGTATGACCAAGGAATAAGCTTCACTGAACACAGTAGGACTTATTTTGGGGAAAAGATGCATAAGATTTCAGTGCATGGTAGGTAAAATTTGTATCCATTGGATGGTGGTTTTTTTAATAGGCATATGGAGGCAGTTGAATTAAATTTGCTGTTGGTCATCTTCTAAAAAAGGAAGTCAACCACATTGTTCTGGATAAATTAGATCCGCACACCTTATGATAAAAGAGGCAGTGAAAAGGCTTATTTGCTCTAAAAATTTAGCTTGATCACGTAATGTAATATTCAAATCTTTCAATCTTTATTGCTATGTTTCTCATCATCTTTGTGACTCTTCCTTGATGTTTTTCCAAATTTTAGTGCCTGTGATGGGATATGGTACTCCAAGCAGAGGTGTGTGATTTTACTTCTCACAGTTGCTGTATAACGTACATATAACATTAATGCAGCCAAGAATTGCATTAAACTTCTAGCCACTGCAACCCAGTCCTGATGCTTAATTTGTGGCAAATCTTAGAGCTTTTGTACATGTTCATTTAAACAGGCATAGGACTAGCACTACAGATCTGAAATGATAAGCATGTTAAAGGCTATCTCAAGGAAAAACCAGGTGATATTTACAGTTACTATTTATATTTGGGGCTCTTTTATTTTTGCATTTTGTCCAAAACAGAAACTTTTATAGTACTGTAGCTTAGAAAACTCAGATGGCTTCATAAATAAATCTTGCAATATTTGAATATATGTCATTTGTTCCTCATCTTTAACATCCTCATGACTTTTAAATGGATTCTTGCAGGTGAAATATTCAGCATATGTGGCATAAGATAATTCTTTGAGCAGAATGTCTGTCTGTCTGTCTGTCTGTCTGTCTGTCTGTCTGTCTATCTATCTATCTATCTATCTATCTATCTATCTATCTATCTATCTATCTATCTATCTTTTTAGAATAATAGTGCTTATTCTTCATAGCTCAGGTTGCTTGGTGTCTGTACATCATTCAGGAGATGTAGGTTAACATTATTATATTCATAATGCTACTTTTTAAAAAGTGATGCAACATGGCATAAGGTGTATGTTATAAAATGGCAGATGGCAAAAATTTTGTCCAGGTGTTTTTAATTGCTTATTTAAATCTCCATTTAAACAAAGTGCTATAGTGTGATTTCATATGAAGTATAAAGTCATTATCTAAATGATAAAAACAAAGCAAATCTCATCTGCTCTTTTTGAGTTTATGACCAAGAACATCATCACTGTGATATATAGATGCTCTGGGACCTCAACATTGGAGGAATGCAACTATAGCCACATTTTTTCTCAAAGTAATTGGCAATTGCTGATTTCTTTATGATGTATTTGCGTATCTGCATTCCCCTGCTCCCAATTCTAAATAGGCAGGGATTTTCTTTCCTAAGTAATGACTGAATAATTTCTGTGGCGATTCCACTTATAATGAATATCCTAGGAATCGCAATTCTAGTCTGAGATGACAATTCTCTTTTTATCCTGAGAATTTAATTATAACATCTTTTTTTTTAAACTACCCAGAGAGGAAAATCTGTAAGAGTTTAAACTTGGTTAGATAAAAAAATACCACTCTCAGAGAAAGGCTTTTTTTTAGACTTGATAAACCAAGACCATTGGCTACTTTTAGATTTGATTATTTACTCTACAGGAAATAACTTTTATAACTCTGTGTGGAAATGTTAGGACTGAATAGCAAATATTCCATCCTCCACTGATATCAGTGAGTCACGTTTAAGCTTACATAACTCAAGTCCTTCTGATATCAAAGGGCCTTCTTTAAAAATGACCACGTTTGGATACAACCATATGCATAGCTTAAATTTGTAGCTACAGCTTGTTGAAATGGCCACTGGGCTTTATTGTCAATGGTTATTAGCTGTAATAACTCAATGAAACGTCTATGTTTTGGGGAAGAAAACCACTGAAACTGAGTTCTTGGTGCAAACAACAGTAGTTGGATGATTCAAAAACCTTCATACAGGAATCCCAGTTACCTGATTACCATCTCATTCCTTGTCCAATTGAAGGTTTAAGCCTTATCCATATGCCTGCATCAGTGTGCAGGAAGGAACTGTGCATATACAAACCATGTTTGTATGATGAACGAATATGTGAATCTACACTGTAATTCAGCCACATCTCCTCTGTTAACCAAAACTTCCATTACTCATAAGCATGTCATAATTCATAACAAGAATATTCTATATTGAATCTGAACCTTATTCATACAGTCTTTAGGATTTGTACAGAAGTATTCTTGTGAACAGCCACTTTATAGATAGAAATGCCTATAAAAAGTGATAAATTAACTTACAGCTGCTTTTTAACACTAATACTATCTATTGAATTCTGTAGTTACAGATCCATGGTTGTAGGTTTTGTTTTCATACTTTGTAAAACAAATTATATTAAAAACTGTCTTTCCCTGTGTAAACATTTTACAAAAACCACCTTTTAAAAATGGTTCAAAAATTATAATGTATACACAGGGGCTATGTAAGCTAGCAATCATCACTGTTGTTATAGTTAATGAGAAAATACCTTCTACAACTGGAACAGAGGACACAGTACCTACAAGAATTTGAAATGCATTCAACTAAAGCTAAGGAAAATTATCAAAGTAAAAATCTATTAAGATTTATTACAGTATTCAATCCATGTAGCTTCTTTCTTCTGTTTATCAGGAGAATTCTCATATAGTAATATCTTTTTATTTAGAATGCTCCAGAGGTTGGGGAAACTTCTGTATGAGGAAAGACTATAATAAAGTTTGGCTTGTTTGTTTGTTTGTTTTAGTTTAGAGGAAAAAAATGGAAAGAAGGACAAAAAAGGAATATGGTATCAAGAAAATAGGCGCACTCTATATTTTTAGAACTGATCATGCAATGAAGCTGAATGACTGAGGATTTAGATTGAAATAAGGAAATACTTTGATGCAATGTATACTTAAATCCAAGAATTCACTATCACAGGATGAAGTGATGGATGTCATCTTGGATGCTTTTAAAGGAGATTGAATCATATCATGGAGGAGGAGGATGTTATGATATCTATGTATTATCTCCAGGATACATGCATTTCTGGGAACACAGTAGGAAAATCCTATTGTTTGTGGGCTTCTCAGAAGCATCTGGTTGGCCACTGAGGGAATGAAATGTTGGACTGGGTAAGCTTTCATTTAAGACAGCATGGTTTTTCTTCTATTCTTTAATTACCTCAACCAAAGTCCAGCAAGAGAGCTCTTATTTGTGGGTATTGTTTATTTATTTTATTTTATTTCAAGTATTTCTAAGGCCACTCAACTGAAATGTGATTCTGGGCAGTGTACAACCAGAATAGCCATTTAGCAAATGATGATCATCATCATATCATTAAAAAATAATCCAATATCTAACATGGCAAGCTGAACAAATATTGAGCTTCCAGGAGAAGTTGCTTCAACTTGGTCTCATCGGCAGTGCTCCTCCTTCATTTAGAAACAAAATGATGACCCTAACAATCAATACTAAAAACTTCATATATGTTTTCTAGTACTATTTCAGTTTTCCATTGGGAAAAAATATATTTGTTCTGCTATTTCATGAAAGACCTCAATGCCAAGTGGCCAAGAGGATCAATAGTAGTGTTGTTGGGAATCATTTTGTTTTGCATTCTGTGATCCAGAGGCTATCATAGATGGTCAATTGAATAAAATAACCACTTTTTGCTATACAGGTAGTCCTCACTTACTGGCTGCAATTGGGACCAGCACCTCCATTGCTAAGTGACATGGTCGTAAAGTGAAATATCAGATGACCACGCCGATTTACGACATCTGTTCCAGATGTGGTCGTTAAGTGAATCGCCCGTGGTTGTTAAGCACAATATCACATGACCACAACTTGCGACTTCCAGCCAGCTTCCCCATTGACTTAGCTTGTTGGGAGCCAGCTGTGAAGGTCGCAAATGGCAATCTTAT